ACTTCTGGTCAATTTCAAGGCATGACTCTCCCACCAGGGACATGAACTGACCAATCCCCTCAGTAGGGCATGGTCACTTCATTTGCATAAGTATAGTGACCAATCCCTGCAAGGTGTGTAAAATAGACCAATCACAGGGCAGGCTGCAGCTCAGGGCCAGACAAAAAGTATCAAACCATCAAGTTGTTTACCGTTTAGTCAGGAAATGTCAACCAACCTGGACAAAAGTAACAAAGCCTCTGGAGCAGGAACCTAGGGCAAAGGTAACTCCTCAGGGTGTAGGGGAAAAATCTCTCATGGTGTTTTTCCAGAGAACTGAGGCAAAAAGCCACATAAAGGAACTCATTTCACCACATATGTATATCATTCTGACCATAAGAGAGTTCATAGGTGAGTGATACAGCTTTGGGCTGGGGTAGATAGGAAGGGCTTTACAGATTTACTAGAGAAGAGTTGGAAGGTGAGTCGTTTATTTTGAAAAGCAACACATGAATATAGTTTTAAAAAAATCAAACTACAGAAAAATTAATGATGAAATTTAAGTTTTCCACCCATGACTCCCAGGCTCTCTTTCCCGAAGCAACCACCATTACCATTTTTCTTTTGTGTCTGTCCAGTGGATTTAACTACTTTTAAATGGATTCTGAACTGATTTTGATTGAATTGATTTTTCAGTGTCATGCATAATGAAGGGTTAAACTTCGTGTCTATCCATAGAAAAATCAGACTCACTCAATGTAATTTATACAATAGGAGCCTACTGATAGATCTTGAAGTGTCCTAGTGGATTTCCAAGCTGATTGTTGCCACGGCAATCCCTACCCCATCTGCCTTCAATTTATCTTGACCCACTTTGGTTTAGATACATTTCTAGCAGAGGGACAGTAGGCATGCTCCCACTTCTAAGCTTGTTTGGGACTGCACTGGTAGCCAGATTGTCCCTCCTCCCCTTTCCTCAATCCTACATATCCTGGAAGACTACCTGAGTGGAAGAGTTAGGGACCCAAAGTCCAACACTTTGGAGAGATGCTCTAACTTAGGCCAAGCACACTACCCACTGAATGAATGTACCCTCCAGGCTGCCCAGCTTCCATACTGGGAGCAAATTCTTCTGGAATCCTAGTCAGCTCTGCTTTTGTCACCCAGGTGGACAACTAAATCCACACCCTGGTCACATAGGAAAGAATGTCTGTGTGACTCCGGACAGCTTTTTATAGGCTATTTCTTATTAAAACAGTTGACCTGTGTTAGCAGGATGAAGGACCAAAAATCAGAAACAGCTTTTATACTTACCAAGTTGTGCAGCTGGTATTAGTTATTTGACCACCTCCCTTTGACCAAGGGAGCCCTAGTGGTGCAGTGGTTAAGAGCTCGACTGCTAACCAAAAGGTCAGCAGTTCAAATCCACTAGCTGTTCCTTGGAAACCCTATGGGGCAGTTCTACTCTGTCCTATAGGGTCACTATGAGTCAGAATCAACTAACGGCAACAGGTTTGGCTTTGTCCAAGACCATGTTCCCTGGTGACTCTGGGAAGTGGGAACAGAAGGCACAGGAGGTGGAACAGCTCCACCACTTGGCTTCCTGGGTCTCCTTCACAAGCTATTTTCAAAAATGGGTGAGTAAAGCTGCCTCTAAACCGATCATGCAAGAAGCCACCCTGAAAGTAAACTTTTTGAAGGAAGCCCTTCTGCTGAGTAGGCTCATCTTTGCATAACACATACAGGCAACAGAAAGGAAAGGTTAACGACCATTGATTTTCTTTTAACTTCAAAGCACTGTGCTACTCATTTTCATATTTATTATTCTATTTAATAATCACACAACTATATTTAAGTACATATCATTGTGGGTGAGTTCCACTTGCCAAAGATTACAGATGCGGAACAGAGATGCATTCAAAATTATGATTTGCCTAACTCCAGAGTTCATATTCTTTACTGGCTTTCTATCAAAAAAGTACTTCCATGCTTTGGGAGAGAGATGGAGATTTTGAAAGGAACTCTGGAAAACCTATAAGACTCAGAAGGCCAAATATTTCTCAAAATCCAGCTGAGACTTCCTGCACTTCTGAGAACAGTACACTTTTGAGAACTCTGTTTGAAACGCTCATTCGGTACTTCCCGATTCGGTATTGCTAGTGACACTTTCCCACTTGTTTCAGTCCCTGTGATGGTTAAGATTGTGTGTCAGCTTGGCTGGGCCATGATTCTCAGTGTTTATATGTGATCAATCCCATTATGGGATCTGCTGTGAGTAGCCAATCAGTTGAAGGGGAGTTTCCTTGCTATGTGGCCTGCATCCCAATATAAGTGGAAGTTCTGGCTTTCGCCTGCTCTGGATCCTGCAGCTGGCTCCTGTTTGCCTGACCTCTGGTTCTTGGGACTTGAGCTAGCAGCTTACCTACTGATCTTGGAATTCACCAATCTTCACAGCCTGTGAGCAAGAGCCTGCTCTCTGACCTGCCGATACTGGGTTCACCAGCTCCTGGGGCAACATGAATCAGGAGAAGCCTCTATCCTAATCCACGGACTTGGACATTCCAGCCTCTACAATCAAGTGAGCCATTTTCTTGATATAAATCTCTCTCTACATATTTATATGCCTTACTGGTTTTGCTTCTCTAGAGAACCCAGCCTAAGACAGTCCCGAATTACATTAATGAAGTAGTACATGGGAGAGTGTTGAGCAGGGAGCCAAGAAAATTGTGGTATAATCTTGTATCTAAGGAGGCTTGATGACACAAATGGTTAGCACTTGACTACTAACTGAAAGGTTGGCTGTTCAAATCTACTTTACGGTTCCGCTGGAGAAAAGACCTGGACATCTGCTCCAGTAAAGATTACAGCCTAGGAAATCCTATGGGGCAGTTCTACTCTGTCACATGGGATCACTATGAGTTGGAATTGACTCCATGGCACCCAACAACAATTGTCTTGTCCCTGCCACGAACTACCTGTGTGAAACCTGAAATTATTTTCAACTTCAGTTCTATGGTGCTCCCTAATATAAACCAAAAAAACCAAGACCACTGCGGTCAAGTTGATTCCAACTCATAGCCACCCTATAGGACAGAGTAGAACTGCCTCCACAGGGTTTCTAAAGAGCAGCTGGTGTTTCGAACTGCCAACTTTTTGGTTAGCAGCCAAGCTGTTAACCACTGCACCACCTGGGCTCCTCCCTAAGATAGTAGGTGTTTAATAAATATTAGTACTTGATGTGATTACAAACCCATTGCAGAGTCGATTTGGACACAAAATGACCCTGTAGGACAGAGCAGAACTTCCCCATTGGGTTTCCAAGGTTGTAAATCCTAATAGAAGCAGACTGCCACATCTTTCTCCTGAGGAAGTGCTGACTCTTAGGTTAGCAGCCAAATTCTTAACCAGTGTGCCACCAAGGCTCCTCCTTGATATGATTAGTTAGGTTTAATATTCTCATCAGCATAGGTTTGGGTGTCCCTAACCTGAAAACAGCAAGGTTACCCGAGTGCGGTTGTGCCCCAACCTTGGGCAGCCAGCAGCTTAGGGCTTTGCTGCTTTCCCTGGCGCAGATGTGCGAAGTTCCGGCCTAGAAACATCCCAATTGCAAGAAGGCATGCCAAAACGGTAGAGAAATGAAAAAAGGAAGATAACTCAACAATTATTAGGCATCGTGCCAGGCGCTTATCTTTTTAGACTTCACAAGGACCGTTCAGAGATGCATTATTAGCACCATTTTCACTGAAACTGGAAATCAAGATTCAGGTTAAACAAAAATACCTGGCATCCCTTACTCTCACACTAAACGCACAGGAAGATCCCCGGCGCTCGGCTTATTTACATCTCGGACCCCGCCCCCGCCTAACACGAGGGGGCCCCGCCCACTCATTTGCATACGGGCGCGCCCATTAGCTGGCCGTCCCGGGCTTTCTCTGGAATCTTTCTGCCCCTTGCTCGTCCCATCTTCGGGGCGAGCCAGAGCCTCCTTCAGGCATCAGCACGTGCTCACTCTGGCTTAACCATGGAAAGTGGACGAGGCAGCAGCCCCCAAACCGGCCCCACCCAATGGCGCTGGCAGGGACCGAGGAGGGAGCCCAGGGAACGCCAAGGAGGGCCAGGTGGTCGCCGGGGATTATTTCCCCAGCGCGGCAGGTTACATGCCTTTCACTCTTCCCTCTCTTCCCCATAGTTCTTCTGGGAGGGCGCCGGAATCAAAATCACCCAAGACCACTCCTGTCCAACCCCTCCCCGGCCTCTGCCGCCTGCCGGCCGCGCCTTGCCTCACGCTCTACGGGGGAGGCGGGACCAATCAGCGCGCGACGTCTCCCTTCCGATTCAAGGCTCCCGACGCTAGGCGCACACCCCGGCCAGCCCGTGCGCTGATTGGCTGCGGGCGACGCCGGTCCTGTCGGGAGGGCGGAGCGGCCGAAGGGAAAGGGAGGCGGGGAGGTAGTGGCCCGCGACTCTAGGCGGCCCGCTCGCCCCCAGCCGTTCCCTTGGCGCTCGGCCTTCTTCTTCCCTCCTCCGCTCCCTTCGTCTGCTGTGCGCGCGGAGCGCTCCGCTCGGCCGGCGTTCCTCGCGCCCTAACAGGCGGGTGTGGGCGCCAATCAGCGGGCGGCAGGGTGCCAGCCCCGGGGCTGCGCCGGCGAATCGGAGGGGCCCCCGGTGGGAGGCGGGTCTAGCC